CTTAGGTCTAATCCCACAACCTGTTCCAATCCAGTTTCATTTGTCATTCTCACTTATGACTGATGAACTTGCTTCCATCACGGAAAACGTTAAGAACTCACTCTAGCATGAGGTCACCCTACAAAGGAGCACTCTCAGCTGCCCGGAATGTTAGCATTCAGCAGGGACCACACCCCTTGCCTTTTCAGTAATTCCTCCTATTACAAAACTCCAAATGCAGCACATTGTTGATAGGAAATTTTGTTTAAAAAGAATATTTCTGGCTGGGCACGGTGGCTCACACCTGTAATCCCCACACTTTGGGAGGCCGAGATGGGCGGATCACCTGAGGTCAGGAGTTGGAGACCAGCCTGGTCAATGTGGCAAAACCCTGTCTCTTCTAAAAATACAAAAATTAGCCTGACGTGGTGGCAGGCACCTGTAATCCTGGCTACTCAGGAGGCTGAGGCATGAGAATCTCTTGAACATGGGAGGCGGAGGTTGCAACGAGCTGACATCGTGCCACTCCACTTCAGCCTGGGTGACAGAGTGAGACTCTGTCTCAAAAAAAACAAAAAAGAATTCAGGCGAGTCCGTAAAGTGAAAGTCAGTTTATTAGGAAAGTAAAGGAATAAAAGAATGGCCACTCCATAGGCAGAGCAGCCCTGGCGCTGATGGTTGCCCATTTTTTTTTGAGACGGAGTTTCGCTCTTGTTACCCAGGCTGGAGTGCAATGGCGCAACCTTGGCTCACCGCAACCTCCGCCTCCTGGGTTCAGGCAATTCTCCTGCCTCAGCCTCCTGAGTCGCTGGGACTACAGGCACGTGCCACCATGCCCAGCTAATTTTTTGTAGTTTTAATAGAGACGGGGTTTCACCATGTTGACCAGGATGGTCTCGATCTCTTGACCTCGTGATCCGCCCACCTCGGCCTCCCACAGTGCTGGGATTACAGGCTTGAGCCACCGCGCCCAGCCCGGTTGCCCATTTTTAAGGTTATTTCTTGGTGATACAATGGGTGGATTTTTCTTGCCTTTCCTTTTTATACTATACGGGGTAACTTCATGATGTCGCCATGGCTTTTGTAAACTGTCATGGTGCTGGCAGGAGTGTAGCAGTGAGGACAACCAGAGGTCACTCTCCCGACCATCTTGCTTTTGGCGGGTTTTAGCCGGCTACTTTACTGCAATCTGTTTTATCAGCAAGGTCTTTAGGACATGTATCTCGTGTATCTCATGCTGACCTCCTATCTCGTCCTGTGACTTAGAATGCCTAGCCATCTAGAAATGTAGCCCAGTAGGTCTCAGCCTCATTTTACTCGGCCTCTATACAAGATGGAGTCACTCTGGTTTAAACGCCTCTGACACAAGCAACTTGGGTACTAAAAGTTGTTACAACACCCTTGCTGGTTTTGCCTGCTAGTGATAATCTACAAAATTCTAAAGATTTACCTAGAGAGAAAAAAAGTAAAAAACCACAATTCAAGACAGAAGAGCAAAATGATTCCAGCAGAGAACTTGAAGGATGAAATCAACCAGGAGGAAGCTTCATTTTAGTAGAAAGTAAACGGTATTTTCACCACATAAGGAAATGTGACCTTTTGAAAAAAGAACAAGGTCATTTTGTACTTTAGTAAGGGCAGTTCCTTCTTGCCACTTACCTGCTTCCATGAGACAACAAACAGCTGGGTTTGTTTTAGCAACCAGCATTGCAATTCACATTCCCTTTAAAACCAAGGCAAAGATTAGAGAGAGATCCCCACCCCTGCTGCAAGTCAGTCTTGAAGGACAAGTGTTTGGTTCTTACCTCATCTACCCACACCTGGAGACCTGTCACATCATGGGCAAGTTGAAACAGTAACTTCTTCCTCCACCCAACAATCTTGCAATACTCCAAAGCAGCAAACCTTTTTTTTTTTTTTTTTTTGAGACAGAGTCTTGCTCTGTTGTCCAGACTGGAGTGCAGTGGTGCCATCTCAGCTCACTGCAGCCTCCTGGGTTCAAGCGATTCTCCTGCCTCAGGCTCCTGAGTAGCTAAGATTACAGGCACGTGCCACCACGCCCAGCTAATTTTTGTATTTTTAGTAGAGATGGGGTTTCACCATCTCTGGTCTCAAACTCTTGACCTCGTGATCCGCCCACCTCGGCCTCCCAAAGTGATGGGATTACAGGCGTGAGCCACCTTGCTCAGCCTAAACAATACCTTCTTAAAATGGGGCACCCGCTCGAGGCAACTACTTCCTGCTTTATGCCCTCCCTCCCATAAATGGTCTCTTCAATTTATTCAGACTTCTGCTTTAGGAATTGTCTTCTTAAAACACCACTTAGAGAGCCAGGCACGGTGGCTCATACCTGTAATCCCAGCACTTTGCGGGGCAGAGGCAGGCGGATCATGAAGTCAGGAGTTTGAGACCAGCCTGGCCAATATGATGAAAACCCCATCTCTACTAAAAATATGAAAAGTAGCTGGGTGTGGTGGCGGGCGCCTGTAGTCCCAGCTACTCAAGAGGCTGAGGCAGGAGAATTGCTAGAACCGAGGAGGCAGAGGCTGCAATGAGCTGAGATTGTCCCACTACACTCCAGCCTGGGTGACAGAGCAAGACTCCATCTCAAAGAAACAAAAAAACAACAAAACACCACTGTTAGGAGGACACTCTTCACTGAAAGATCTTTAACAGACCACAGAGCAAAGTAATCCAGAGTTCTTAGCATCAATGAATACGCCACTCTTAATTGAAGTCTTTTTCACCATTCTACATTTCTTGCGTGTTCCTGCTTCTGCCTTACTCATTGTTTTCTCTAGAGTTCACCATACATTTTTGTCTATGATTCCTCCTACCTACGCTTTAAGGATTAGTTCAACGGTTATCTGTTTACAGAAGTCTTCAAATTCCCTCCAAATGAATACTAAATCCAGTGGTCCTGAGAATTCGAAGTCAGTCCTCCATAAGTGATTCTCTCACCACAAAATGGCCCAAGTACCTTGCCTGCCTCCCATGGCCGCCAGCTGAATTGTGTTGTAATTGGGAGGGAACCCTCCATTTTCTCCCAGTACTGTATCACTTTTTTTTTTTTTTTTTTTTTTTTTTCTGAGACAGAGTCTCACTCTGTCACCCAGGCTGCAGTGCAGTGGCGTCATGTCAGCTCACTGCAGCCTCCACCTCCCGGGTTAAAGTGATTCTCCTGCCTCAGCCTCCCGAGTAGCTGGGACTACAGGCATGCACCACCATATCCGGCTAATTTTTGGTAGAGATGGGGTTTCACCATGTTGGCCAGGCTGGTCTCAAACCCTTGGCCTCAAGTGATATGCCTGCCTTGGTTTCCCAAAGTGCTGAGATTATAGGCATGAGCCACTGTGTTGGGCCACAGTATTTTTTTAAATGCCGCAAAGCACACTGAAGAACACTTAACACGAGTATATCCTCAATGAGTAACTGAACAGGCTGAATATAGTGGCTCACACCTGTAATCCCAGTTACTCTGGAGGCTGAGGCACAAGAATCTGTGATCCTAGGTGACAGATCGAGACCCTGTCCCTCCGCCCACCCCCCCCAAAAAAAAGAACAAATGAAGAAATAGCCCATTTTTTGAGAATCAGTGCTTTTATAGAGCTTTTGACAAGGAGGCAGTACAACGGTTAATAACATGGATATGGGGGTCAGAGAGACACAGATTTAAATTTACTAGGCTGCGTATCAGCTGTGTGTTTTAGGTATGGGTGTATTTAGCTGTACTTCCTCTAAACAACGAGGTTAACAATACCTACCAATATGGTGATTGTGAAAATGGGGTAATGAGCAAAATATCTTAATGTGATGTGTGGTATATGGCAAAGAGATAACTATTAAGATACCTCTGGTATTCACAGGTGACTCTACTAATGCAGTGCTTCTTAAAGGGACATTTAAACAACCACTGCTCTGATTTAGGGAATAGTCAAGCTTTAGTTGAACACTGGCCTCTCAAGAACCACTTCTGGAATGTCGACAAGTTCCTTTAACCTCTCTGTCTCCGTTTCCTTACTTCCAAGGGGTGATAATTATTTGCCTGACAGAAATGCTGAGCGAGATCAGGTCAAAAATACTATGTCAACAACTGCAAAGGATTGCTTTTATTATGAACTTAAGAAGAAAAAAAGCTGGAAGTATTTTAAATTTTATTCTTTTTCTAGCACATTCTGTGAAGGCTTTAAAAATAAATTTCTCTTTATAATTTTCCTTTTCTTTATTCTTTACAGGACAGTAAATCTGATTACTCAAGTTCTCAAAAATGAAAACTATACTGGAATGTTTCTATTATGCTCCCCCTGTTGGCCTGAGAGCAGGATAACACTGCCTGAGACTAACAATTCAAGATGATCTAAACATTTATTTTCATGGACTTGACTAATATAAAGATGTAATGGCATTCCATAGAAAGACCTAAGCCACAGTTTCAGCTCTATCTTATATAGATACCCGACAATTGAAAGCAATATGTTTATCTAATTTTTAACTATTAGGGTTCAAATCTAGAAAATTATTTTTATAGAAAGGCTAGCTGCATGCCATTCATTCTTTCAAAATAATTACTTTTCAAAGATTCTGCTGTTTCTGTATTTAAGGCTGAAATCCACTGAAAGCCCCCAAACTTGCAATTTTTGCAACAACTTACTTTTTTGAGATGGAGTTTCCCTCTTGTTGTCCAGGTTGGAGTGTAATGGCGTGATCTCGGCTCACTGCAACCTCTGCCTCCCAAGTTCAAGCAATTCTCCTGTCTCAGCCTCCCGAGTAACTGGGATTACAGGAATGCATCACCACACCCAGCTAATTTTTCTATTTTTAGTAGAGATGAGGTTTCACCATCTTGGCCAGACTGGTCTTGATCTCCTGACCTCAGGTGATCCTGCCGCTTTGCTCTCCCAAAGTGCTAGAATTACAGGCATGAGCCACTGCGCCTGGCCAACGATTTACTTTTAAACTTAAAAGTTATTATATATACTAATTTACCTGTGAATCACTTTTTTTGTATTCAAAGTCTTAGATTATGTCTATGAAAACTAATTTATTAAACCTCTGTACACAAAGATGAACATACCTGTATAGCAAGCATATATGAAGCATGAAGTTACAAAGAAGTAGAAGTATTACTAAAATTGATACATGTAATTCACTTATAAAAATACCCCAAATGGGATAAAGCTGCTCATCCCTGATTTTTCTCATTTGGTTGTTGGAGTTGAAATATGAATTTAAAATGGTAGAATTTTTTCTTTTAAAAAGTGATATATTAAACTTATATACAGGATAATTAGCAAAATGTAGAAAGGGAAAACAATGTACAAAAGACAGATAAAAACCATCAATCTCAACGGACAGTCACAATCCAAAAATAGTATAAACCTTAACAAACTATGTCTAATCCAGGTCATATTCACATCTCCCCCCAGGTTTTGTCAGTGAGAGTAAAATATAGTAAACTAGTGAGCTCAGTCTTTCCATTCTTTAAAATAGGCTCGACTTTGGAACACAAACCTTGGATAGATTTTTAAACATGGGAGGAACAAACAGGAAAACAATTTTATCTATCCATTTAATTAGTACTAATTAATGGAACAAAGTTATTAAATAGCTCTTGGTGCTAAGTCAAGCCATTATTCAGAGGCCTTTTTGTTTTTCTGCTGGTTTCTGGGTGAGTTCTTTAACAAGCTTCTTATCTTGAGGTACATCCCAGTGGATTCTGCCATATTCTCAAATTCAAATGGTGTGATTCCAGTTGCAAATTTGCTCATGTCAGGTATAGGGCTATGCATTTTAGCGGCTGTTGAAGGACTGGTGTCTGCAGGAAAGAGCTTCCGGCTGCCCCCATTGCTGATATCACAGTTTGGTGTGACACTGCCATTATCAATACAGGCACCTTCAGCATTTACCGGAGCCAGGTCCACCTTTTCCTTCTGACAAAGTGATGTTACCTCAGAATCTGGGCTGGAGGCACGTCCAGCTTCTGATTTCTTTGTAAAAATGTCTGGTACCTCAGGCTCATCCAGCGCCTGCTTTTCAGATGTTTTTCCTTCTGGGACAGGGAGGTCTAGCTCATTTGGACAAGGTGAAGAGGCAACGGAATTCCCAGTTAAAGGTGTGTCCACAGGAATGTCAGAGTCACTGTTAATGCTTTCGGCCTGCTCCAGAGCCGCCCAGATACGCCTCTGCTGTTCTTCAAGTTCTTCCAGAGTCAGGGCGTCCTCATCCACAGCTGCAGATGCTGTTCTGGTCTGGGGTGAGTCACTGGGAGTCAGTGGTGGGGTGCCCTTGGGGAGAGGAGGGGTGAAGACGGGTGGAGGAGTTCCCCGAGGGAGTGGAGGAGGAATGTCAGGAGGTAATGGTGGTTGAAACTGAAAAGTTTCGCCGCTCTGAGAACCATGTGGTACCTCCATATCTGAAGTAAGAAAATTAAGAGATACTTTAGAACTTGTAATAGCATTTGTTTTACTAAAATGTGTTATTTGAACTCAGGTATATCCAGAAATTCAATGGCCAAAAGTAACCGGCTTAAGAGAAGGAAAATTCTGGATTCTCAGGTGCTATGACCATCACCTGGTGCCCTTAGTTCACCTGAAAAGATCTACAGGCAGAGCTGTCAGGATCTTCTGGTGCTAGAACTTTAGCCATACCCCTTGGGAGATCTGTTTCTGTGCTGAGTGCATTATTTTAGAGTGAGGAAATATGAGCAATTGTATGGAGACTACAGAATTTCAAGGTAGTGCGCTCTACCCAGAAATTCATGGCAGAATGCAGTAGGAAATTTGATTGGAGGTGCAGGCTGGCTACTGAGTGGTGGAAGGCTAATGGGGAGGAAGTAAGGGGCAAGGCAGGAGTACGCCTTGGGTTATTTCTTCCTTTTTTTTTTTTTTTTTTGAGATGGAGTCTCGCTCTGTCCCCCGGGTTGGAGTGCAGTGGTGCTCATTGCAAGCTCTGCCTCCTGGGTTCAAGCGATTCTCCTGCCTCAGCCTCAGAAGTAGCTGGGACTATAGGCCCATGCTACCACGCCTGGCTCATTTTATGTATTTTTAGTAGAGATGGGGTTTCACCATGTTAGCCAGGATGGTCTGGATCTCCTGAACTCGTGAGGCTTCACCCTCCTTGGCCTTCTAAAGTGCTGGGATTACAGGTATGAACCACTGTGCCCAGGCCTTTTTTTTTTTTTTTTTTGAGACAGAGTCTTGCTCTGTTGCCTAGGATGGAGTACAGCGGCACAATCTCGGCTCACTGCATCCTCTGCCTCCCAGGTTCAAGCAATTCTTCTGCCTCAGCCTCCTGAGTAGCTGGGATCACAGTCATGCACCACCACGCCCGGCTAATTTTTGTATTTTTAGTAGAGAAGGGGTTTCATCATATTGGCCAGGCTGGTCTTGAACTTCTGACCTCAGGCAATCCACCTGCCTTGGCCTCCTGAAGTGCTGGGATTATAGGTGTGAGCCACTGTGCCCAGCCTTATTTCCCAATTCTTATCTCTAATCTAGACTGCTCACTTTAACTGCAGGTTCACGTATCTAACTGCCCACTGACCATCATCACCTATAGGTTCCACAGACACAACCTGTCCAAAACAAATGATCTCTTCCGAAAATGTGGACTATTCCCCCATCTGCTGTTGTCACTAATGGCACCACCAGGGGTATCTGCTTGTCACCTGGGAGTACTCTTTCTTTCCACCCATCCCTAGGTCTTTGGCTCTCTGGGGAGCATGCTCTCCTGTTGGCTGCCACAGCCGCAACCGTGCCTCAGGTCCATTACCATTTGCCAGGAATGTGAGAGTCACCCTCACCTCTGGATTCATCTTCCTTGTGTCTGTCCTCCAAACCGCTGCCAGATCCATCTTTTTTCTTTTCGAGACGGAGTTTCACTCATGTTACCCAGGCTGGAGTGCAATGGCGCGATCTTGGCTCAGGCAATTCTCCTGCCTCAGCCTCCTGAGTAGCTGGGATTACAGGCACACACCACCATGCCCAGCTAATTTTTTGTATTTTTAGTAGAGACGGGGTTTCACCATGTTGACCAGGATGGTCTCGATCTCTTGACCTGGTGATCCACCCGCCTCGGCCTCCCAAAGTGCTGGGATTACAGGCTTGAGCCACCGCGCCCGGCCTGACTCTTTTTTTTGAGATAAAGTCTTGCTCTGTTGCCCAGGCTCGAACGCAGTGGAGCAATCTCAGTTCACTGCAACCTCCAACCCTTGGATTCAAGTGATTCTCCTGCCTCAGCCTCCTAAGTAGCTGGGATTACAGGCAACTGCCACCACACCCAGCTAATTTTTTTTTTTTCTGTATTTTTAGTAGAGATGGGGTTTCACCATCTTGGCTGGTCTGGTCTTGATGTGATCCACTCACCTTGGCCTCCCAAAGTGCTGGGATTACAGGCGTGACACTGCATCCAGCCCAGATTCATCTTTCTACAACAAAAGTCTGGCCCTATACCCTTCCCATCTCCATTGGAATCCCTTCAGTGCCTGCTCAGACCCCACAGGAAGAAGTCCAATCTTCCTCCAAGGCCCTCTAGGATACAATTTCCCTACTTCCATCACATCACCTCCTACTGCCTGGCTCAAACTCCAGCTGTCACCCTGCTGCTGACCTGATGTGCCGTGAAGTTTCAACGATCCTGCATTTGCACTTCCCACTGTCTCAAACGCCCTCATCCACCTCGTCTCCTTGGTAAATCCCTGCATTCATCCCTCAAGATGCAGTTCAAAGTTACCCTATAACTTCATTCAGCACAGATGATCAGTTTTTCCTCTGTGCCACCATTACAGTCTGGAACCTGCTCTGTGGCAGCAATATGTTAACACTTTTGTTCCGTACATATCACTGCGGGCCACCACATTTATATGAAAATGATGTTGACCCATCTGCAATCCCGAGGTGAGATGACAGTGATAGCTGGGGCAGCAATGCTATCTTTTTTTTTTTTTTTTGATGGTTTGTTCATTCTTTTTTTTTTTTCAGACGGAGTTTCGCTGTTTTTGCCCAGACTGGAGTGCAATGGCACGATCTCGGCTCACCGCAACCTCCGCCTCCTGGGTTCAAGCAATTCTCCTGCCTCAGCTTCCCGAGTAGCTGGGACTACAGGCACGCACCATCATGCCCAGCTAATTTTTGTATTTTTTTAGTAGAGATGAGGTTTCACCTTGTTGATCAGGATGGTCTCAATCTCTTGACCTCGTGATCCACCCGCCTCGGCCTCCCAAAGTGCTGGGATTACAGGCTTGAGCCACCGCGCCCGGCCGGTTTGTTCATTCTTAAACAGTGACTCCATATTCGCTAAGAACCAATAGCGTGTGGGCATCCATTGATATAGCCCCTTTTTATTTATCTCTGGACAGCTATTTGAAGCAATGGGAGTGAGAGATTTGAACCCAGAATAATCTCAGGAGCTTTAAATCCAGTAAAGGTTGGGTTGTTTCTTTTCATCCAAAAGTTAGCCGCTGTTGCCAAACTGGGGAACATTCCTGGCGCAATCTCTAGCATTGCTGAATGACGAAGAGCTCCCGCCCACTCAAAGAATTCACCCATTCTGTCTCTCGCAGCCTTAAGTCTTCTCTTGAACTCTATGATATCAGCTATAACAGATGATAACTTCACTGTTTCATCCATGCACTGCTTGAGATAGGCTTGAATAACATATAGTCATCTGAGCCTTTGTTGCCACGAATTTCACCTGATGCAGGAGCTCCTTTCCAGGGGATTTGAATTTTGTGAACAAGAATGTAAACACAAATTCTCTGACCCATTCATGACTACTGATCCAGTCAATGGCAGGGCCGGCACTGTAACCAACCAGAAGATTTGCACTTTCACTATCAGGTGCTCGGCCAAGTGCGGCCATCATTGCGCAGAATCTCTTCTGGATCAGGATACTGTCTGACTTCATTTTGTCACTTGACCCAACCACTATACCAATCAACAGATCACAGCAATGATGGAGAACAGAACCATCTCTATTCTGGTTAGGATAACCCCTCTTTCACGGATTTCTTGTGGAGCGTGAGGGTATACATTTGCTTTCCCTGCATTGTGATTCCACTTTTTTCTTCCACTCCAACTGCTTTGAATCCTTCAAGCATTCCTTCAAAGAGCACAGAAACATAAGACTCGGCAGGACTGGATGGAAGAGCTGACGAAAGCTTGGATCCACAAATGATTTTGCGTTTTCTTTGATTTCTTTTTTTTTTTTTTTAGACGGAGTTTCGCTCTTGTTACCCAGGCTGGAATGCAATGGCGCGATCTCGGCTCACCGCAACCTCCACCTCCTGGGTTCAGGCAATTCTCCTGCCTCAGCCTCCTGAGTAGCTGGGATTACAGGCACGCGCCACCATGCCCAGCTAATTTTTTGTAGTTTTAGTAGAGACAGGGCTTCACCATGTTGACCAGGATGGTCTCGATCTCTTGACCTTGTGATCCACCCGCCTCGGCCTCCCAATTCTTTGATTTCTTTAACGTGTCTGATACCTGGGTGAAGCTCCGTAGAATCTGAAGGAAATTGCCGCACATTTCCATTGAGATGCTGTGGCATATTCTCGACTGAAATCTCCATCGGGGCTTGACAGAGCTCCATTGCAGCTGATCAGTTTGAGTAGGTTCCTTTTTTTCTTTTCTTTTTTTTGTGAGATGGAGTTTTGCTCTTGTTGCCCAGGCTGGAGTGCAATGGAATGATAGCTCACTGCAACTTCCGCATCCCAGGTTCAAGCAGTTCTCCTGCCTCAGCCTCCTGAGTAGCTGGGATTACAGGAATGTTCTACCATGCCCAGCTAGTTTTTTATTTTTAGTAGTGATGGGGTTTCTCCATGTTGGTCAGGCTGGTCTCGAACACCCAACCTCAGGTGATCTGTCCGCCTCAGCCTCCCAAAGTGCAGGGATTACATGCGTGAGCCACCGCACCCAGCATAATGCTATCTTATTAAGCTTTCTGTCCTCAGGGTCTAGTAGAGAGTCTGAAATTTACAGGTAATATAAGATTTGTGAAAATAATAACACACTCTCACTTGGAAGTTAACTCACAGGCCATGTGTGGTGGCTCATGCCTGTAATCCTAGCACTTTGGGGAGCCGAAGCGGGTGGATCATGAGGTCAAGAGATCGAAACCATCCTTGCTAACATGGTAAAACCTCATCTCTACTAAAAATACAAAAATTAGCTGAGCGTGGTGGCATGTACCTGTAGTCCCAGCTACTAGGGAGGCTGAGGCAGGAGAATCACTTGAACGTGGGAGGCAGAGGTTGCAATGAGCCAAGATGGTGCCACTGCACTCCAGCCTACCAACAGAGTAAGACTCTGTCTCCAAAAAAAAAAGTCAACTCACAGCCCAGCATGGTGGTTCATGCCAGTAAACTAGGAGGCTGAGGCAGGCAGATTGCTTAAACTCAGGAGTTCAAGATCAGCCTGGGCAACAAAGTAAGACCCTGGTCTCTACAAAATATACAAAAATTAGCTGGGTGTGGTGACGCATGTCCGTAGTCCCAGCTACATGGGAGGCTGAGGTGGGAGGATTGCTTGATCCCAGGAGTCTGAGGCTGCAGTGAGCCATGATCACACCACTGCATTCCAGCCTTAGCAACCGAGTCAGACCCGGTGTCCAAAAAAAAAAAAAAAAAAAAAAAAAAAAAAAAAAAAAAAAAAAAAAAAAGAGAGAAGAAAGAGCCTCTAGCACAAAGCTGAACATGCCTACACAGAAGTGTGTGGCCCTGGTGACAGGGGTGCCACCACCACAAATCCCAACTTCAAAAAACAACCATGCCTCAAATGATCAACAAGGATAATCTGCTTTCTTCCACAGGATTGGAAGTGCGTGAGACCCAAATTCACTTCTTTCGAGGCTGTTTCAACTGACTAAAAATATAAAAATTAGCTGGGTGTGGTGGGGGATGTCTGTAGTCCAGCTACTTGGGATGCTGAGGCAGGAGAATCGCTTGAACCCAGGAGGCAGAAGTTGCAGTGGGCCAAGATCACGCCACTGCATTCCAGCTTGGATGACAGAGAAAGACTCTGCCTCAAAAAAAAAAAAAAAAAAAAAGCTAAGGAAGTCTCAGAGAGCAAGCCCTTTCTCCCATTTTATGTTTTGGGAAAGTAGATTTTCCTCAAGGCCTCTGTTTCTTGGGTGGAGGAGTGATGTACTGGATCAGTACTATTGGAAAGAATAACTGGGGAAGCTTGGCCCAGCTCTGCTCTTCTTCCTCTTGGGACCAAGCTGCTAGAAGGGCACACACTTTCCACTGCTTGTCTCAGAGCGCTGAACTGATCAAAGGGGCCTGTCTGCATGCAGCACTGTTGGGACCAGGTGGGGCTGCTAATTCAGAAATGGGCCAGGCACTGTGGCTTGAACCTGTAATCTTAGCACTTAGGGAAGCAGAGGCAAGAAGACTAAGCCTGGGAGTTTGAGATCTGCCTGGACAACACAGTGAGACCCCATTCTACACCAAAAAAGGTAAAAAAAAAATGGAACTCCCCTAATTCAGGAATGCAGCCAGCTGGCCCACCTGGCTCTCACACCAAGGTCTGGCTTTCAATTAAGCTTTTATCAGTGATAGCGGTGATACTCTGATCTCCAAGAATAAAACAAAGATTTACTCTTTAGTCAGTGCTCACAAAGGAGCTTCTCCTTTCTTATGGAACTCAAGAGCATACAAACGTGTCCTAGCTTCTGGATGAAATCAAAGCCACATGATGAAACCTACCTGAATCGAGCTCCATGTCGGCAGGGGAGCCTGCTGAGTTGCTTTCCTTCTTCTGCTTCTTTGGACTACCCGGGCTAGAGTGAGATGAAGACCTTTTGCTGCCAGACTTCACACCTGGCTAAAGAAGCAACCAAAGGAAACACAAGTTAGGTGGGGTAGCAAACGAATTAAACTCCATCCCTTCACTTAAAATTATGTAGAAAAATGACCTGGAGCTAAGTCTAGGTAACTGGTAAATTTCGCCACTGTTTTCCTTTTGGTTAGTCAGATAACAAAGCAAGGAAAGGCTATAAGACGCTAATAAATTACAAAATCTCTCGGATACAACAACATTTTATAGACTACACCCTTAAAATCTATTTACCGCTTGGAAGTTAGAAGTAAGGTAATTGGCAAACACATCCTTCTGTTGACATGCCTGCATTGGTATGGAACCAAACATCCTCCATTCCTAATGATGAAAAGAGAAGGAAAAAAAAACGTGTTTGAAAAATGTCATGTTTTCAGATTTTGCTCAAAGGAGGTACAGTAGAGATCTCAAAATTACATTTTTCCTTCTTATGTGACTTTTCCTTTATCGAAAATTAAGGAAAATAATGATGTGTTAAAGGAAAAATAAACCTGCCTGCAAAATAATTAAGATTGAATACTGAAAGACTACTTGACACAATCACTTGTCCAAAAAGGTTCTACATATTGCAAGCAGAAGATGTAGGCCGGAACAACTGCTCTGGGGCCTCCCAGGCTCCAATCTCTCTCCCATCAAGCACTGGCACTGCTAACAGGGCCCACTTCTCCTAACACACTTACTCATGAGTTTTCTATCTTCTGTTCTTTCTCTTTCCAAATATAACACTCATCTTTAAAGACTCCACAAAGTTTGTTTCTCTCTCATCGCTGACTGCACATTCAGCAGTGGTTCTCAGTAAGAATCAACCAGAACTCTAGTGAAACATACAGATCTCGGGGTTTTAATTAGTCAAGTCTAAGGGTGGGACTCAAGAATGTACATTTCTAATGAGTATTCCCAGGGGACTCTGAAGAGACTGGAAGCTGGACTGGCTTCCAGAAGCACTGATCGCTTGTATCATGCAATTCCGCCTGAAATGAATGACACACTGTCTTGTGTGATTGATAACTTTGTATCTGTTCACTAGACACTAACTTCAAGTCTTTGGCTTCTTCCCTACAGTCCAGTTTCTAAAAACACCAAGGATACACTTATTTACTTTTTTTTTTTGAAATGGAGTTTTGCTTTTATAACCCAGGCTAAAGTACAATGGCACAATCTCAGCTCATTGCAACCTCTACCTCCTGGGTTCAAGCAATTCTCCTGCCTCAGTCTCCTGAGTAACTGGGATTGCAGGCACCTGCCACCATGCCTGGCTAATTTTTGTATTTTTAGTAGACATGGGATTTTGCCATGTTGGCCAGGCTGGTCTTAATCTCCTGGGCTCAGGTTATCTACCTGCCTCGGCCTCCCAAAGAGCTGGGATTATAGGCATGGGCCACTGCACCCAGCCACGAATATGCTTTTTAAATAAAATAGTACAATAGTTCATTGTTGAATCTTGAGACCTAAGATGGAAACTGAAAAAGAGTTAAGTGTGGAAAAACCATTCATATACAAAATGAGAAATTTTACTTTGAGGGGAAAAAAGGCAAGAATGAACAGGAAAAAGTTATAGTATATTTAGATTTATTATAGATAGAAACTTACTTTCCAAGCTAAGTCTGTAAAATATATAATACTGTCTCAGAACCATGCACGTTTTTTAAAACTTTTAAGACTTTAGAATAGTTTTAGATTTAGAGACTCTAACCAATCTATTTGGCTCCCTTTCTGAGGGCACAAAATTAGAGAAAACTGCTGTTGATGAATACAACACTTCAATTAAGATTCTAGCAAGATTCTATAAAGGAAATTAAAAATGTAAACAAATAACAAATTTATTCCCTTAAACAGTAACTGCTATATAAGTTAGTATGTGTATATGAATTAACTAATTATTTTTTGAGACAGGGTCTCATGTGATCTCACCTCACTGTAATCTCTGCAATCCTTCCACCCCAGCCTCCCTAGGAGCCAGGATTACAGGCATGTGCCACCACCCTTGACTAGTTTTTAAATTTTAAAAACTAGTAGAGACAAGGTCTTGCTATGTTGCTCAGGCTGGTCTCAAACTGTGGGGCTCAAGCAATCCTTTTGCCTCTACCTCCCAAAGTGCTGGGATTAACAGGTGTGAGGCACGGTGCTTAGCCAACAAGTTAATATTTTGACCAGTCTTTAACATAGTACTATCACATCACACGATAATTTAAAAAAATCAATATACTTACATCTGGAATTCCTTTTGGAGTGGATATATTAAAACCAGGATAGTTGACCAATTTTGAGAGATCGTAAGTGACACTTTTATTCTGTTGTATTTCCCCAACTTCCATTTCCCCATCAGTGCCATCTATTACAGACCATAAAAAGTATTAATATTGTTAAATGTCAATATACATCTCTCCCCAGACCAAAAGTACACCTGGAAAATGCTTATACTCATGACAAGAGAATTAGTTTTGAAATAGCTATAATTTTTCTAAACCATTAGGACATAAGTTTTTTGTTTTTTTTTTTTGAGAAAGGTTCTCGCTTTGTCACCCAGGCTGCTGGAGTACAGTGGCACCATCTTGGCTCACTACAGCTTTTGCTCCTCTGGCTCAAGTGATCCTCCCACCTCAGCCTCCTGAAGAGCTGGTACTACAGGCATGCACAACTGCTCCTGGCTAAGTTAAGTATTTTTAGTAGAGACAGAGTTTCACAATGTTGCCCAGGTTGGTCTCAAACTCCTGAGCTTAAGCAATCCACCCGCCTTGGCTTCTCAAGTGCTGAGATTACAGGCAAGCTACCACGCCTGGCCAGAACAAATATATATATATTTTTGAGATGGAGTATCACTCTGTCACCCAGGCTGGAGTGCAGTGGTGAGATCTCG